TTCCCACATTTGGCCACATGCTCCCGCGGGGGCGGGGCAGGACTGACATCACCCAGGAGGGGGAGTGGGCCTGGATGTATGAGGGGGAGACAGCCAGAGACTTGGGGGAGGCCGGCAAGTTTCTTCACAAGTCGGGCTGCCGGGTTCCCCTGGGCCTGGCTGTTCCATCCGAGGCTGAGGGCCCAGGGGTCTTATCTCAGGGTGGGTCCTCTGACCTTTCCAGCCGTCCTGACAGCTCCCTGGCAGCGGCAGACGGGTACCAGGGGAGGCTACCACCACCAACTGCTGCTCCAATGTCCCTTCCCCAGCCAGCACAGCACCTTGGAGGGTCCATTCCTACTGCAAGAGGAATGGAAGGGTTGTAGACCTAGACAGTTCCTGTAGGGGTGGCTGCCCACTGGCCACAGCGAGGCTCCTGGGTCCTGGTCTTGTGCAGTGGTGTGGGTCCCTTGAAGTTGTTATAGCCACTTGAACTGAGGGGGCTCAGTGTCCTGAACCTCACTTTCCTGTCCACATGGTCAGGGAGTGGGCAGCCAGGGCCTCTCTTCTCCCCATGTACCCTTCCCTCTGTCTCCCGTCTCTGTCACGAACCGGTAACTGTTCAAAACCCAGCTCCGGGGCTGACTTGCTGGGTGTCCTTGGTCAAGTTGTTTAATGTCTCTATTCCTTGGTTTTTCTCATGTAATAAGTAGGATTAATAATAGTACCCCAGGGGCTGGAGAGACGGTTCAGTGGTTGAGAGCACTGGCTGCTCTTCAGGAGGACCCAGGTTCAAGTCCTAGCACCCACATGGTAGCTCAAAACTGTAACTCCAGCTCCAGCGTCCCCATTCAGACGTGCAGGCAGGCAAAACACCAATAAGCATAGACTAGAAATAAATAATTTAAAAAGTAGCACCCCAAAGGGTTACTATAAAGACTGGATGAGTCATTGCTTAAAATTCCCAAATCATACCTGGCATATGGCAAGTACCACTGTTAGAAATATTAAGTCTAGCCGGGCAGTGGTGGCGCACGCCTTTAATCCCAGCACTCGGGAGGCAGAGGCAGGGGGGTCTCTGTGAGTTTGGGACCAACCTGGGCTACAAGAGCGAGTTCCAGGACAGGCTCCAAAACAATACAGAGAAACCCTGTCTGGAAAAAAATATTAAATCTAAACCTGATGTCTAGAGCTGTCTGCAGTTATATATATGCTTCGGTTATCCTACCACCTGGGAGGCTGAGGCAGATGAACGGCCAGCTTGGGCTACACAGTGAGACCTGCCTCTAACATAGATAAGTAAAATGAGCTCCAAGCTCAGCATTTGTTCAGACACTGCCGTGTGGGTGTGGGGGTGGGGGTGTGGGGGTGTGGTGGGGGGGGGTCTGTCTGGGCAGAGGAGGCCTGGCTGAGAGCTGCCTGCCTCTGCCTCCTGAGTTCAGGCATTAAAGGCGTGCACCACCACACCACAGATAGTCTTTCTCGCTTACCCACAGCAGAGTGCACCAAGGGCTGGCATCAGATTCTGGTGTTCTGGGGTTGCAGGGGGTATAGATGCTTCTGGGGGACACGGAGGGTGTGTGAAGCAGAGGTGTCCACCTGCCATGTGGGCCAGGACAGGCCTGCCTGTGGGTGGTGAGGAGCTATGGGAACAGGAAGTGGGTGGAAGAGGGCGGATAGGCCAGGCAGAGCCAGGCTGCGGGCTGCGCCTCCTAGCTGGCCACTCCCAGGGCAGCCCCTGGCCTGTGCTAAGGTCCTCAGTGGGGTTCTCTTCAGTTATTTGTGGGGAACGTGAGAACAGCCTTCTCACAGCAGGGGCCTCAGCAGGCCTGCACGGATGCTGGGAGGAGGGGGTAGTGAAGGCCCGGGCTGGGGCTCTCACCTCTGCCCCAAGAGGGCTGCAAACACACCAGTCCTTTCTGGACACTCTGCTTCAGAGCTCCTCCGGCAGTCACGTGCCTGGGAAGCCTCATCTTTCATGTTCCTCTCTGCCTACCTGTGTAGAGACTGAGCAGACGAGCATGGGCCGTGTGCGAGAGGCTCTCAGAGTCCAGGCTGGACTCAGGTGCTGTATGTCTCTGCCCTAGCCTTGCAGCGCTGGTTACTAGCTTATGCCCAAGTTTTTGAGTCAGGGTCTCTGTGTGTAGTCCAGACTGACCTTTGAGATTTGCAGTTTGCCTGTCTTAGCCTCCTGAATGTTGGGATTACAGGCAAACACCATGCCTGGCTCAAACCAGCTATCCTCCTGCCTCGGCCTTCAATCAAGTGCCCGTGATTACAGGTGTGCAGCACCTATATATACTTTTATAAATGGCGACAGGGCGACCTCTCCCCGCTTCTACCTTTATTACAGTTATTCTCTCTCTCTCTCTCTCTCTCTCTCTCTCTCTCTCTCTCTCTCTCTCTCTTGTGTGTGTGTGTGTGTGTGTGTGTGAATGCAGACATCAGAGGACAGTTTCCGGGAGTCCACCTATCCCGCCAGCACTCGGGTCCCAGGAACCAAGCTCAGGTCATCGGCCTGGTAGATTCTCTTTGGCGGGGGAGGGGGGTAAAGAGGGGCAAGAAGGTATCACATAGCCCAGGCGGGCTGACCCTGGCCCCAGAAGGGCTGTGTGGTGGGGGAGGCTGACTGCCTCAGCCTTGCAAGTTGGGGATTACACCCCCATACCCAGCTTTTTCAGTGTTAGCGGCCTGGCATTCGTGACTGAAGCAGGGGCAGGCGTTGTTAGCACGGGTGCTGGGGATGGATGGGCTCGGGTCCACCGCTCTTGTCTCCAGTCCTCCAGGGACCATCTATGCTCAGACAGGTAAACTAACTCATCCGAGGTCACACAGCTCTAAACAGGCTTGACCTCTGCCCCTGGTGTGGGGAGCACAGCAGTGTGGCCGCTGGGGTGGGAAAACCCTGCCCTCACGCTCCTCATCTCTGTCCAGGCTCAGGCCGTCCCGGGGGCTCAGGCCCAGAGCCCAGAGCAACCAGCACCATAGCGTCCAACAGCTGGACCGCCAGCAGCAGCCCCGGGGAGGCCCGGGAGGATGGGTCCGAAGGCCTGGACAAGGGGCTGGACAACGATGCCGAGGGAGTGTGGAGCCCGGACATCGAGCAGAGCTTCCAGGAGGCCCTGGCCATCTACCCGCCCTGCGGCCGGCGCAAGATCATCCTGTCGGACGAGGGCAAGATGTACGGTGAGTGCAGTGCGTGGGGCAGGCTCGGTGGGGGTGGGCGTGGCCCCGCCCCGGCCCCGCCCCCTGCTCTCTGTCCCCGGCCAGACCGGTTGGTTGGGGGAGCCCTGGCCGCCTGCCCGGCGGGCGAGTCCGGGCGGGCTCGAGCTGCGTGTGTCTGGGGCCTCCCCCAGCTGTACCTCGCAAACAGGCCGGCCGCAGCCCACACGCGCCCCGCCTCTCCCCGGCCCTGCCGGCTGGAGGTTTCGGGGTGACTCAGGGGGGCAGGAAAACTGGGTCAGTTCAGTGAGCCTCTGAGAGCCTATGGCCTGGTGAGGCAGCACCAGACTCCCCCGACTCCCAGCGCCCAGGACTGAGGGGATACCGCAGGGAGAAGTAGAGGCAAAGGAGCCCACCTCTGCCCAGGCCGGTCCTGAATGCCTGAACCTCACTCTTGGGACAGGAGCGTGTTCTGGGGTGCCTCCCCACATTGCACCCTCACCAATGGCAGGCAGGGCAGCCCCACGGGGTATTTTTAGACAAGGGGTTGGCGGGCAGGGAGGAGCAGTGGGGCCTCTTCTGTCATCACAGAGGAATTTGGGGAATGTGGCAGTTCTGGGGAGGACAAGAGATTGGGGGGCTGAGTGCACACCCTGGAAGCTGACACACACCCTAAGGTATGTGTAGAGAGCCCCTGCCTTGCATAGCCTGATCCCCAAGAGGGTCTCTGCTGAGCGGAGCCCCTACCCTGAGACGGAGTCGTTGTAAGGACCCCACTACACACCTTGTCCCAAGCTACTAGATAAGAGACATGTTAGAGGCCTCCTGCTGCCTTCACCCGAGAAGCCAGACAGAACTGCTCACAGACAGGGGATGAGGGCTGAAACCCACCCACACCCCAGCCTCTGAGCCTTGCTGAGAGTGATGGCCTTGTTGTCTGGGAAGCCTGTCAAGGTCCTCCGTTTTCTGTAGGCCTTCCCCTCCCCCAGGTCCTGGAGGCAGTGTGTAGGGGATCCCAGAGTGAAAAGTGGGGAGGGTGGGGTGGCCAGCCTCTGGTTGGACACTCCTTCTACCCAGTCCTCATTGGCTCTCTCTCTCTGACAAGGTCGAAATGAACTGATTGCACGATACATCAAACTGAGGACGGGAAAGACCAGGACGAGAAAACAGGTAACGAGCTGGCCCTGGCCCCCTGCCACTCCACCCATGGCTGTCTTGGGTTTAGGAACCACAGATTAGCCCACAGGGCCTGCTCACCAGTCAGGAAGATGATCATCGTGTGCCCGGTGGGGTGGAACAGAAACAGTATATAGTAGGACTGGGGTTGGCCTGGAGGAGGGAACACCAGCTCTGCCTCTGGAGGATGTGGGGGTTAACCTGGGAAGGGAGCCTGCCAAGCTGGGGTTCAGCAGATCAGACGTGATAGCAACCCCTACACCCCACCTGTGTTAGCACACACCACTGAATTGCCAAGTGATATAGTTCACAGCATACAGCCACTCAGAGCCGGCTCTGTTGCTGGGATAAAGACCATGATGACCAAAACCACTTCCCAGTAACAGTCCATCACCCAGGGAAGGTGGGCGGGGCAGGACCCTGAAGAGTGGGGTTTGCTGCTTTCTTAGACGACCTTCCCAGGGATGGCACTGTCCAGAGTGGGCTGCCCCCCCCCCCAGCCAATAAAAAAGTTTTCCTTGGGTTTCCCAAAAAGCCAGTCTTGTGGGGGCATTCTCTCAATTGAGGTTCCGTCTTCCCAAATGACTAGCTTGTGTCAAGATGACATAAAACACCGGGCGTTGGTTGCTCACACCTTTAATCCCAGCACTCAGGAGGCAGAGGCAGGCGGATCTCTGAGTTCGAGGCCAGCCTGGTCTCCAAAGAGTGCCAGGATAGGCTCCAAAGCTACACAGATAAACCCTATCTCGAAAAACCGGGGGGGGGGGGGATGACCTAAAACTCAAACTAGTGAAGGGAGTCACTGAGCTAGAGGAGGTGGAGTCAAGATTGTCCCCTGACCTAACAGAACAAGCCAGAACCAGGTAGTGCAAAGGAGGGAGGGAGGGAGCCCTGGTGGGGGATGTGGCCCTGCAGCTGCCAGGAGGTGGAGGCTGAGACAGCATCCACAGAGGTAGGGGTGGGGGAGTGGCAACCGCTGTGGGTGAGCTGTGGGTGACCAGTCGAGGGGAGTGAGTTGATCTGAGGTACCTAGGAGAGAGGTCACCTCAACCCCCAGTCCTTCCAGGGGTTGGGATTTAAACTATGCATCCACTTCCCCAGAGAGCTGGGTGTGCACACAAACCCCTCCTGCCCTAACCTCATCCTGGGAAGAGGCAGGAAGCCCTAGGATCCCTGCCTGTCAGTCATTCCTGGGTCTTTAGTCCAGCTGGGTGGCTACTCTGGTCCCTGAGCTCAGACTCCTGAACTTGGAGGGCTGATAAGAGCACACCCTCCACCATGGGTTACTACATGCCAGTAGTAACCTGAGGAGTTTGAGGCTCCAGTGAAAGGAGCCTCCTCCCCCAGACAACACGGACTCTGAGGTCAAGCCCTCAGTTCCCCCAGGCTGCCTTGCCCTGGCTCCTTGGCAACTAATCTGATTGGCGTACGGACACCTATAGCAGTTGAGTACATCTGTGTGCTGTCATTTCCACTGTGACAGGCCACACCCATATTCCCGGGAACCTCTGGTCAGCCCTGGGGAGGGGCTGAGGGGCTGTAAGTTCAGACGGAGTTAAACCCAACCCGGCCACACCTTCAAAGGGGTGTGCCACCATGCCTGGTACAAGGCCTCCATAGTAACCAGACAGCTAAATTCCAAGTTGGGAGTAAGCTCTCTGTGCTTCCAGCTGTCAGAGCTGGCCCTGCCTGGGGAGGTGGTCCCCACTTACGGGTCTGAAGGACCCCTGTGAGAATAGCATGCTGATGAAGCCAAAGGTCCCTAGAAAGCCACACAACCCAGGTTTGAGCGCCAGCTCTGCATCCCGCTGTGTGATCCTGGGTGCATAGCTGAGTCTCTCTGGGCTGTGTTTGGGTCATCTGGAGGAGCGCCCAGCTGGGCGTGTGGTACTGGGGTTCTCAAATCTAGAGCGAAAAGTTTAAAAAAAAAAAAAAAAAAGCATCTGTGGCTTCTAATGCTCGAGGAGCCAAGCAGCCCAGGCTAGCCTATGTGGTGTCCTCAGAGGTGGGGGCTCCTGTGAGGGAAGGACCCACCCACTTCACCTGCCTGAGCACATTCTGTCAACAGCCTACACCATGGTGCATAGTGGTCTTTGAGGCCACTGGGGGCTCTTAATTCAAGGTCAAGAAGAAACAATTGACAAGTTCTCCCATTGGACCCTGGTCCCCAAGAGATGAGGCCTGGGGTGCTCGCTCCACCCTGGCCATCCTGGTTGTGCCTCCTCACCATCTGTTTTCCTTTGTGTCGGGGCATACCCCCCTAGGTGTCCAGCCACATACAGGTTCTAGCTCGGAAGAAGGTTCGGGAATACCAGGTTGGCATCAAGGTATGTCGGGTGCCCAGCAGGGCCTCCGGCCTTGGCTGGGCCTCTTCCATGGTGCCTCGCCCATTCTGCACACTGCAGGCCTCTGCCTTGGTTGGCTCTCCAGCCCACAATACCTCTCTCTAGCCTGAGCTCTTTCTTGCTCCCTTCTCTTCTGTCCTGTGCTCTCTCTCTCTCTCCCTACAGGTCTCTAGTCACTTGCAGGTTCTAGCCAGGAGGAAGTCTCAGGAAATTCAGTCCAGGCTGAAGGTATGGCCCCTGCCACTTGGCCTAGCTCTGCCTAGAACAGGGCTGAGGAACTGAGAGGGCCTGAGACACACAGTGACAGCAGTAAGTCCAAAAGCTCTGTCTGGTGACACTTTAACCCCAGCACTCAGGCAGAAGCAGGCAGATCTGAGTTCTAGGACAGCCAGGGTTACACAGTGAGACTCTTGTCTCAACAAAACCAAAAACAGCCTGTCAGGGTTCCGTGGCCACAGCTCCTGGTGACCTGACGGCAGGTGGCCAGTGTCTGAGAGCTACTCTAGCCTGCCTCTCCTCTGCCCCCCCCCCTTTTCTCCTGACTGTTGCTTGCTAATGGCTTGGGGACTTGAGGGAGGATATGAAGGGTGTTGGCTGGCAGCTCAGTAGAGGTGGGATGAGAGAGTTCCTGACTAAGACTTTCAGTCTGTGCTTGGGTATCTGCCCCGTTTTCCCTGCCTCTAAGTCTCCCAAGCCTATGGCTGAGTTCTAGGAGGGACAGACAGACCCATGATCCTAACTTTTCTTCATCCTCACCTTACCAGGGCACCCCCTGGCTGGCAAGCACTGCCTTTTGACTTTCTTGGGAGCTGACAGCCAGGGCACAGGGTGGGGGTATGGCCCCCCCAAAAACCATGTTCCCTCCCCCTGAGAGCCCTCATGTATCTAATCCTCTGTCCCTTTCTCCTTCACAGGCCATGAACCTGGTAAGTGGCCCGGCACCCCTGAGGGGAGGGCTTGAGAGACCTGGGGGACAGAGCAGCGGGGTGGCACAGTGGTGGAGTGCTCACCAGGCATGCTCAGCATAGAAACCAAACCAAAGCACTAAAGGGTGAATTGTGACGTGAGTTTGGTTTCATAGAGAAGTCACAGATAGTTTGAGTATCGAGGAGGAGTGTCTACACAGATGCTGTGTGTGTGTGTGTGTGTGTGTGTGTGTGTGTGTGTGTGACAGATTCGGGCGCTCTGCATTTCAGTATATGAGGGAGGGCCCAGAACCAGGAATTGCAAGGGACCGCCGTACTGGGGTGCAGGATAAAGTCGTATTTCATTCTGTGTGCTGTGCCCAGAAAGGACCGACACCAGGATATTGGGGCTGAGAGAGGGTAGACAGTACTGAATCCATGGCAGAGATGGGCTAAGAATTCCTACCTGAAGGGCCTGGCCAAGACCTCATGTGATCACTGTCCCCCAGGACCAGGTCTCCAAGGACAAAGCACTCCAAAGCATGGCGTCCATGTCATCTGCACAGATTGTCTCTGCCAGCGTCCTGCAGAACAAGTTCAGCCCGCCCTCCCCTTTACCCCCGGCTGTCTTCTCCACCTCCTCAAGGGTATGGGGGGGCTGGGCTGGGGGCTGAGCTGGGGTGTGGCCAGGGTTCCTGGATACTGAGGCCCTGGTTTTGTCCACAGTTCTGGAGTGGCCCCCCTCTTCTAGGACAACAGCCTGGCCCGTCTCAGGAGTAAGCATTGCCTGTATCTCCTATGCGTCCTTCCTGAACCCTGTCTCCTACTGTCACCGTCCCTGTGTTTCCTACTTGGGAGCCTAAGTTAATCCCTGGTTACCACCAGGCAGTGAACAAAGCTCAGGGTTCTCAGTTCTGAGAATATACGGACAGCCACAGTGAATGGCTCTCTAAGGTCGGGAGGGGCGTGTACCCACCAGCTGTGGACGGCGCTGGATGCTGCCATGGAGGAAACAGAAAGGTGGTGGGCTAGTCTGTGCACATTTGCTGAGGGATGCAGGGGAGGGGCTGGGCAGGGGAAGGGTGTCTATTCCTGTAACCTGCCATATTCCTGTCTGCAGCATCAAGCCCTTCGCCCAGCCTGCCTACCCCATCCAGCCTCCCCTGCCACCAACGCTCAACAGTAAGTGTCGCGCCAGGCCACCTAGCACCTGGTACATCTGGTTGTGCCCTTGTGCTTGGGACCTCTGTGTACTTGTACTGGGGTGGGTGGCAGCCATAGTGGGTTGGATTAGGTTTCTGTTCCCTGTAAAGAAAGACACCAAAAGCCGGGCATTGGTGGCGCACGCCTTTAATCCCAGCACTCGGGGGTGGGGGGAGGGTGGGGGGGGAGGCAGAGGCAGGCGGGTCTCTGTGAGTTCGAGACCAGCCTGGTCTACAAGAGCTAGTTCCAGGACAGTCTCCAAAGCCACAGAGAAACCCTGTCTCGAAAAACTAAAGAGAGAGAGAGAGAGAGAAAGAGAGAGAGAGAGAGAGAGAGAGAGAGAGAGAGAAACACCAAAATCTTAGCAGTATTCCACTCTAGGTGGTGGCACTTGTTTTCTTTGAAAACACCTTGTGACTGTCACTTAGGACACCCCTTTGGCGTATAGGCTGTGCGCTGCACATCACCACCCCCTGGAGTAAAGCCCAAGCCTGCTGTCCACGGCGCCTGGGCGGATGAGCTATGTCTGTTACCCTTTTAGATTATGAGTCCCTGGCCCCACTCCCCCCAGCCGCTGCCTCCGCTGCCTCTGCGCCTGCCTGGCAGGACCGCACCATAGCCTCCTCCCGGCTCCGCCTCCTGGAGTACTCTGCCTTCATGGAGGTGCAACGGGACCCCGACACGGTACTGTGGGGATGGTGGGGAGCTCGGCCTGTGATGGAGCACCCAGATCAGGGTCCTTGGGCCTGCAGGTCAACCCCTGCCGGCTGACCCTGGTTCGGCCCTCCCCACAGTACAGCAAACACCTGTTTGTACACATCGGCCAGACAAACCCTGCTTTCTCAGACCCACCGCTGGAGGCAGTGGACGTTCGGCAGATCTATGACAAGTTCCCTGAGAAGAAGGGGGGGCTGAAGGAACTCTACGAGAAGGGGCCCCCAAATGCCTTCTTCCTCGTCAAGTTCTGGGTGAGGCTTCTCCCAGCCCAACATGGGCAGCTCGCCCGGCTCCTTGCCTCTGCTCTCCTCCATGACCAGCGGGCCCCTGGGTGGGACCTTCGGGCCCCTGGGTGGGTGGGCCCGGAGTCCCCTGGGTGGGTGGGCCCGCAGGCCCCTGGGTGGGTGGGCCCGGAGGCCCCTGGGTGGGTGGGTCTGCAGGCCTCTGGAGGCATGGAGGGGGGAGCAGGAGGATCCCTCCAGCCTCTGCAGCACTTGGTGCCCTCCCCACAGGCTGACCTCAACAGCACAGTTCAGGAGGGCCCTGGAGCCTTCTACGGGGTCAGCTCACAGTACAGCTCGGCCGACAGCATGACCATCAGCGTCTCCACCAAGGTGTGCTCCTTCGGCAAGCAGGTGGTGGAGAAAGTGGAGGTGAGCGGAGGCCTGAGGAGGGGGTGGGGGGCACAGACAGGTCGGTGACACACAGTGATGCTACCGCCTGGCTCTGCAGACGGAGTATGCCCGCCTGGAGAACGGTCGCTTCGTGTACCGCATCCATCGCTCCCCCATGTGCGAGTACATGGTCAACTTCATCCACAAGCTGAAGCACCTGCCTGAGAAATACATGATGAACAGCGTGCTGGAGAACTTCACCATCCTGCAGGTGCGAGCGGGGCTCGGCCGGTCGGCTCGTCTGGACAGGTGTGCGTTGCCAAGCCCCCTGCTCTGCTGAGTCCTGTTTGTTCTCTTGCTCCCTGTCCCCATAGGTGGTCACGAGTCGGGACTCACAGGAAACCCTGCTCGTCATTGCTTTTGTCTTCGAAGTCTCCGCCAGCGAGCACGGGGCACAGCACCATGTCTACAAGCTTGTCAAAGACTAGCGCACCTTTGAGGTCCACAAGGGTGCAAGGCGGACTTCTTCCACACACCTGCCTGCCTGGTCTCCCCGGGTGTGCGTTGGGGGACTCACCCACCCGTGGGTTTCAGGCTGGGACCCAGGCTGCCTCCCTGGCCCCAGCACACATGCTCCCTGCCACTGTTCTGCGCTTTACTGGAGAGAAGAGGGCGGGCTCCGTGGTGATGTGGCCTTCCTGGGCATTGACCCACAGATGACCGGCTCCACCAGGCCTCAAGTGACATCAGTTGGGGATGGAGGGCCCCTACCCTAGGGGAGTGTGATGAGCAGGTGAGGGTAGAATGGAAGCCAGAGAGAGGCAGCTTGTCAGGCTGCCCTGGTACAAGGTGTCAAGCTAGGGGCTGGGCTAACAAGGGCCCACAGCTCTGGGTACCTCCTGGGTACCAGCCTGTTCCCAGGTCCCTAGCACAGCAAACCTGGGTCTCCTGTATCAGACAAAGTGCCAAGAAGGAGGCCCACAGAAGTGGGCAGAGCTAGAGCCCAGGTTCAGCTACCTCCCTAGGACAGGGCTGGCTACCGCAGAGGGGGCTGTCCTGGCAGAGTGGTACGGCTGGGCTGGAGGCTGGACAGGATGCTGCCCCGTCCTCCCCAGCAAATCAGCTAGCAGGCACCCCTCCATTGTGGCAGGGACAGGGAGGCTGGAACTTGAAGAGCCCTTGTCTCCTCCCCCTCCCCTGCTTTGTCCACACCCAGGGTCAACTGTCCTGTCCCCAGGTCAACCTGGTATTTATGAGTGTCAAATGAAGTACTGTGCCCCTCATCCTGCCCGAGCTTTCCTGAAGGTCTTCACCGTTCACACACTGCTCAGGCCACCTCCAAACCCTACCTAGGTTTTATAACTATGTATTTTTGTGTATTTTTAAAATCCAGCTGTGATGGGCTATATTATAAATGGCTCAAGGCGGCAGGGGCCCCTGAAGGCCTGACTTCTGCTTAACAAATTAAAAGCTGTTTCTGGGTCAGGACAGTTGTGTGTCGTGATACCTCCCACCCTGGCCCACCCATCTATGTGGCGCAGGGATGCAGCCACTACCTCACCCATCAACAGCCAGCACCTGTGGCCTTGTGCCCAGTAGCAACTGGAGCTTAGTGCCTTTGGACAAGTAGCTGCTGGTCAAGCTGGCAGGACTCAGAGGCCCTGAGACAGGCCCGGGCTGGAGCGAGAACCGAAGGTCTTCAGCAGTCACTCCTAGAGCCCCCCAGGCTCAACTAGGCATGCTAGTAGCAGCTGAGCACCCCCCACACACACACACACAATGCTCCCTCATGGATAAGGCTCAAAGACAGATGAGCCCATCACATTCCCAGCCTGCAGTGAGCGAGCTCTGGGTAGGGTGTTAGCCTGTGAGCCCCTACAGGACATCAAATGCCTAGTCAACACCAGGATTGAAAATGGACCTTGCCTTTACTGACCACCCAGGCAAGCCTGTCCTAGGCTACTTTGATGCGCCCTTCAGACCCACAGGTGAGGGTTGTTACTTATTTCCCCCTCACCTGTGTAGCTGGCTTTGATCCCTCAAGATGGGCCAGTCAACTTGAAGGCTGGTGTTTAAGAGGTTCCAATGGGGAGAACCTCACAAATGTGTTGTTGCTCATCACAAATGACAGAATTTGGCTCTGGATTTAAGTGGGTGGGTTTGCCCAAACGAAGGAAAAATCCACACCTCTAACTGCACTGAATTAGCCAGCAGCAAGGACGCCTAGCTGTGAGGCAAGCTGGCTGACAGGCACATGCCCTACCGCTGAATCCTGAGGGTGTAAACTGGGCTCACAAAAGCAGCAGAGACTTGAGTTTCGAAAGGATGGTAGCAGGTTTATTGGGTGCCCTAGTACAGACGCTGGGGCTTGCCCATGGTACTCTTGATGTACAAAGCCCGGACATTCTGCCAGTTCTTCTTGAGCAAGGACACCAAGAAATTGACTGCCAGGTGGATGTTGTAGACCAGCTCGTCATCCGTCATCTTCACGTGGCCAACAGCCACAGCCAGACACAGCACCTGCACGGAGGGCAGGCTAGTGAGCGCTACATTCACGTGGCAGCAGCCTGGCCCTCTCCCCGCGACCAAACTATTCAATGCTGTGCCCAAGGCACCTAAAGTTAGCTCCAAAATCCCCCCCCCAAACAACCTAGACCAACCTTCTTCATCTGGAACTTGATAGTAGACTTCACCTCATCAACTTTGGCCACCATGTTTTCATTGTGTGTCAGCAGGGAAGGGAACTTGCCTGCCTTGTTTAGGCCTGGGCCCAGGATACGTGGGATCTGCTTGATCAGGGACTCGGAGGCCAAAAAGGCATCATATTTCTTGGCTGTAAGGAGAAGCCATGGGCTGCTCATATCCAGGGCAGAAAAAGCAGGACCAACCTTTGTAAAATGACCACCAGAGACCCAGAATCTGTGGTACATACACTGCCCAGCACAGAGGGGCCGAGGAGGCTCCCAGCTATTGTAATCCCAAGCACGGCTCACAAGCCAGCTGCAGCTCGACTTGGCACAGAGGCCACCTGAGAAACTGTAAGCAGGACTGCCAATCTACCCAGTAGTAGACAGCCTAAACACTGGAGCATGCGGGCATCAAGTTCAAAGGCTGGGAACCAACTGGGGTCACGTCTATCTGTAAAACCTGGCCCAACAACTACGGCATGAATGACAACGGGGGAGGGGGAAGGCCTGCAACAGAGTCCTGCACACCCACTCAGTAGCCTCACACCCAAGAGAGAAAACGAGGCCGCCCTCCACAGACGGCTAGCCCATCAGACCCAAGTTTTTTTGTGTTCGAGTCAGGGTTTCTCTGTGCAGCTTTGGAGCCTATCCTGGCACTCTCTCTGTAGACCAGGGTGGCCTCGAACTCAGAGACCCGCCTGCCCCTGCCTCCTGAGTGCTAGGATTAAAGGCGTGCTCCACCAATGCCCGGCTCAGCCCCAAGCTGTTAGCATCAACAACTAAACACCCAACAGCTGGGTAGGGGAACTTGTCACACGTGGGAAGGGCCTCAACTGAGCGCCGCCTCCATCAGACGGCTGAGGCTGTTTCGTGGGCGGTCACGTTAGCTCACGTGAGCCCTCTGGGAACGGTCGGTGCCCGGCTGGGCAGGCGGCCCTGGGCTGTGTGTTGTTAAGGCAGCGTGAGAGCCTCTCCGAAGTGAAGCCGGAACGCCGGGCCAGCCGCACCTACCCAGCTTCTTGACCAGCTTCTTGTTCTTGTTGAGCTTCTTCAGCGCCTCGATGTCCATGTGGGGGATGTCTACGGCCTTGGCTTCGTCGCAGTGCTGCTGGTCCCCCAGGACGCACACCGAGAACTTGGGGCGAGGGGTGGACTTGAGCCTGCGTTTGGGGGAGGGACACACGGGTCACGGCCGGGCAGTCCCGAGTGGCCGGGAGGCGGAAGGCGGCTGGGTGGCCGGCCAGCCCCGAGCGCGTCTTACCCGTGGGCGTCAGCTCTA